TTTTCTAGGATATAGGCCTGTGTTCATGCTCTCCCCTTTAATTTCTCCATGCATTTGTGATTGGACTGCAGCACAAAATTTAAATGTATGTAAATACAGATTGAAAGTAATATTCTGGCTCAGGGACAGGTCATAGAAGTACAGCGGCTGCATCCACCCATTCAACTACCCTTCATTGTTGCGGGCGTTTTCACCAGCAGTCCCAGAAGTAAGGTAAGATGGGTGCTAACATCTTTTAAAAGCTGAGGGAGACTGCTAAGAATGCGCTCCTCCTTTTTCTCCTCTTGAGTTTTCGGTTCCCTTTTACAGAAACAAAGATGCAGAATTGTCGGCTCAAAACTTAATCTGAGCGCAGTGCAGACAAATGCCTCTCTCTCTCTTGGAGCCTCTAATAAGCTTCTTCCACCCATTCATTTCCTGATGCTGACAAGCTGAACAAAGCAGAAGGCATGTTTTAAATTTAGCTCTGAGTCACTGGCTATACTGCAGTCGCCGGTTAAATTGTACAGAGGAGAGTTAAAGACGAGAAAATTCCTCAAAGTGAAAGCCAAAGAGACTTCCGGTACAGGCTTACTGGGCAAATTCTTGACATGCTTGTCTCTTCCTTGGCACTGTGGGGAAGAGAAGGAAGGGAATCTCTTGGGATAAAGGGGAGCAGTTCTAAGAGACACCCCCGGGGGCTGCAAACCCTCACCCCACCCAGCACAGTTAGACTATTCAGGCCTTTGCTCGTTGTTCAGTCCCAGCTCAAATGAATTGGAAATGGTTAGGTCCCTCCTTGTGTAAGATCCCTTGTTTGCATGGGTCCTGCTGTGTGCAAGGTTTTGGATATATGTCTGAATATTTGAACTGTGCAAAGGGTTGCACAACTGCATTTGGCCCCAGTGGGATTTATGCACCCTCAGAGGCTGGGTGGACTACAGGCTAAAACGGTCTTTCTCTAAAACCTTGGAAAAGTTCCTTTTTGGGGGACTACAGCTCCCTCGAACCTTGTGGTGTTAGGAGGATTCTGGGGGATGTCATCCAAAAATAATGAAAAAGAGAGAGCTAAAAAAAGGCTGGCTGACTTGTTCCTTATTCAGTCTGTTGTAAAGCAGAGTTGGGTAACTCCAGGAATATTGTTTTAAGAAAAAAATGGTCAGGCTCTGTTGTGGACCATTGTATCAGCTCTTTGCATGATCGTCAATGCCTTGTTTGCATGATGCGTCAACTGCTTAGATCACTGGGATGGGTTTATTCTGGAACCCTCTTCTCTAGCAAGAGAGCGGTGGGATGAGAAGTCCTATGTGCTTTTAGACCTTTTGATATTTGGCCAACCTCCTCCTCTTGGTCCTGTGACATGATAGATAAACCTCCAGTCCTGTCTTGGTTTCTCTGATCTCTTCCCTTCTCATGGGTTAACTATTGTACTTTCAACCCTCTTTTGCTTTCTTTTACTCTTGTCCAGGGACTGCAAAGTCTTCTCCTTCCCCTGGGCTCTAGATCGTCCCTTCTTATTTGATTAAAAAAAACACACCTCTGACCTCAGTGGTCCTCCTGTTCGTGTCCGTATTATTTGGTGTCTGTCGGGCCTGTTGTATTTTAGGCAACTTGCAAATAATAAATGATGACGAGACACTGTTTTCTGCATGTAGGGTTTGTTTTTCTGCTTGTAGATTTGAGAGATCTGGGATCGCAAGGGGACCCTTTCTCTGTTCTTAGTCCCTTGTGAATATTTAGCCACAGGGCGAGGAGGCAAAGCATGTGTCTGCAGTGATGTAGTGTTGGGTTGGGAGTTCGAATCCCCCAGGGTGCCTCCTTGACAGGGGCTGGGTGGGTTGGGAGTTTGAATCCCCCAGGGTGCCTGCTTGACAGTGGTTGGACTCGATGATCCAGAGGGTCCTTTCCAGCTCTGCCATTCTAAGAGGACAGGTTATAAGTAAGCCTCAGAGTCCTCAGAAAGCCGATGATCCAGAGGGTCCTTTCCAGTTCTGCTGTTCTAAGAGGACAGATTATAAGTAAGCCTCAGAGTCCTCAGAAAGAAAAGCTGCTCTGTCATTCCCAGGAGCCAAGGTGAACGCCCTAACGAACCCCTTGCTCCTGTTGTCTCCCAAATGCCTTTCCCTGTAGATCGCAGGGTGGCCATTTTTCAGACCTCTTGAGAGATAGCGCCCTCCAGGGGTTAGGGTACGGGGATAGGGATTTGAAATTACACTTGTTGGTTCTAGACCTTGCTAAGAAATGAAACTCCCTCCTTGAGAAGAGGAGGAAAAACTGGGACAGCAGTTATTTGAGTTCACTGGAAGGAAGCCGGGCACGAAGCACCATAAATAAAAAAGTGAGTGAGACGGTGTTGGGGGAATCCCTGGTTAGGTTGGTGTCTTGGAAAGCAGGTGCTTGAGAGCCTTGCCTTTTGGTGATCCAGTAGCGAAGGACGGACAGGCAGAAAGGGTGGAGCAGCCCTTTCGCTTCTGCAGTATTCTAGGCATTCAGATATCGGAGCAAACGGGGCAGGTGGCCAGGAAATTTGTGCCAAATTTTAGAAGCAGAACAGAAGAATAGTAAAAGCATCTTAAGACAGTTCTTCCTACTGTTTAGTTGGGAATCTCTATTTTTGTGGTTTCGATCCTGCCTTCCGGAGCAGCAGAAAACGAGCTTGTTCCACCTTCTCTGTTCATGTCCTTTCGGAGATCTGAAGATGGCTGTCATGTCACTGCTTGGATTCTGCCGGTTTGTGAACGGTCTTGCCCCTGGTAGACCGTGGGGTTTGCTTGTTGCAGGAGAGAGAGAGAGAGGCCTGGGCTTCCGCGATTCTCTTTCCACTGACCTGGTGTATAGCCAAGGTTTTGTGTCTCCACCTTTCTCCACTTAGCTTGTACAGAAGCAGTCTCTCTGTGCCCATGTTGCAGGTGTTGAATCGTTGCCTTGGGGCTATTTTAACCAGCAAGGCAGATGTCATAGTGTTTACATAATGAAGGTGCTGGTGTGAAGCAGCAGCTAAGGCAAAGAGGAAGGCACTAGTTGATGCAAACCCTGCTCACAGGAGGCTTTGCTGAGTGCCGAGAACAACAGAGCATGTTGGTCTGCTTGCTACCTGTGTTTCTCTGGGTGAGGATGGAGTTTATGCTGAAGTAGGTAAGATCGCAGGAATGCCAGCTGGGAACAGACAAAAGTCCAAGGGATCACTCTTGGCCAGAAAGCTTCCTCTCTCCCTGCCATTCCGCTCCCAAGTTGGGTAAATGCGTTGCTACTGTATATCCTCATTGAGTTGAATGGTCTTGTTGACATCTTCTGACATGTCGACAAAGCATCTTCCAATGAGGCAGTCCTGATTTTACCCCCTTTCCTCTTTGAGCTGTGGACCTTCCTCCTTGCACCATATCCACAGGGTTTATTCGTCTCAGTCCTAGAGTTGTTACATTTCTCTAATGATCCGTAGCCAGAAATCTCTGGGCTTGGATGGCAGGTAAAGCCCTCAAAGGAACACACACACACACACAAAGATAAAAAAATAACAATTACTGTATATAAAAGCAGAAACAAATCAAACCAGCTGTGGGGTATGCAACCGAAGTGACATCAGAAGGTAACAGCCAGGTGAAGATCTGAAAGATGAACACGTAACTGTGAGAAAACAGAGGCTACTTGGTGCGAAAGGGGCTGCAGTGTCCCTCGAGGGAAGCCACTTTTGGTGGGAGATGTTCCAGAACTGGGGGGGTCTCTACTGAGAAAGTTCTTTCCTTCCAGTAGCCACCAAACTTGTGTTATCAGGAGGAACATCCCTGGAAGGAGAGCATCCAGAGATTACTTTGAAGTCTTGATAAGCATGTGCTGGAGATGATGATCCTTTGGGTAACCTGGCCACGGGCTGCTTAGGAGGTGAAACGTTCACGCCTTCCCTAATTGTCATGATATTACATGGTGATGGTGGTGGTTCTCTTCTGTTTACGTCCTGCCTTGCATCCTGGGAGAGCTAAGAACTGAGCTGCAGGTATCTCAAATCACAAACCTGTAACCACAACTTAGACACAGAGGAGCTTACAAGGACACGGGCTATACCAGTGTCTTCCAAAAATGCAATAAAAGCAGTGGAAACAAGACAATTGGAAAGAGCCGTCGGGACACTCCTGCGTTCCCTGGAAACTTGTACAAATAGCTATGGTGCCGACGGGCGCCTGAGGAGACCCTCCTCCACCTTCCAGAGGCTTGGAGGGGGTGGGTTAATAATCTACTTCAGGAAGGGGAGAAAGATAACACCCTCCCTCTGGTTGTAATCTGTGCAGGATCCTGGGTTTTAGATTTAACACCCACACAGGCATTCTCAGGAAGAACCTTGGCAAGCATCTCCCTCTTTAAAAAAGAAGCACTGAATTTCTAGGTCATGGCTGGAGGATACCCGTCCAGAGGTGACTCATTTTCCTGGCGGGTGTGGAGCTTCTTCTTGCCTTGAAAGGGGGAATAAAAAGGCAGCAGGACCTGACTGCCGGATCTCTGATCCGTCCCAACCCTAGGGTTTTAAACAACGTGAAGCCTTCGCTCCCTCGAGAGCGGCGTGACTTTGTGCCGGTAGGAGAAAGGAGCCCTCTTCCTTTTCTGCAGTCCATTTCGATGCATGGAGCAGAAGGCCCCTTGCAGGGCTCAGAAAAAAAAAAGATTTTAAGTCTGAGGACGCAAGGCAGGTAAAGCAGTGTTTTTTTCTTGGACTGATGCTTTTTGGAGCAAGGCCTGTGTAGGTTCTAAAGCCCCTACGTTGTCCTCTTCTTGCAGTCAAAAATGCCTTTTTTGATTCACAAAACCAGATGTCAGTTAAACCGATGCCCCACCCAGCTGGGCTGGATCTGCCATCTGCCTGCGTCAGGCGAGGAGGAGAGAGAGGGTGGTGTGTTGGGGAATTTTTTATTTATTTTTTTTGTCGGTGGTGAAGTTTTGCTGTGTAATGCAAGTTTCTAGCTGGGGGTGGTGATGGTGGCGGCCGCTTTCAATGGCTCAGCCTGCTATCACCACGCTCTCTCGCTCCCGCTCTCCTGTTTGCTGGCAGGAAATGTTATGACTTGCTTGCTTAGGATTACAATTGGAGCAGGAATGCTGGGCTTCCAGATTTAACTTTCTGGGCGTGGGAGAAAGTTCCACACTGTGCCCGGGGTAGGCAAAGGAATAAGACAGCTTTCCTCCAAAATCTGAACCGGACGAGGTAAGGAAACTAAATGCCATTTGTGATGCAAAGCTCTTGAGTTTGGTTTGGATTCTTCTCTTCTTTAACGTTTTTTTCATGACCTTTCTGTTTTTACGCCAGTGTGTGAGGCTGCTTGAAAGAACCAGGCAGAACATGTAAATTTAATGGATGCAGATCTGCAGGCAATGTTACTGCGGAAAATCCAGGGATGGGGGGGGGGGAGAGAAGGTGTCTCTTTCCTTCCTTAGACCAGTATTTTTGCTTTCCCTTTTAGAATGAACTGCCATGGGATTTTTGGACTAATAGCTCTGTCGTTCTTATTTGCTTCCTGTTGAAAAGAATTCTTTTTCTTGAAAAATTCTTCTTTTTCTTGAAAAATTGGGTTCATTGGTGTCTGGACATCAAAGCTGGTCTCTGCTCCCGGGCAGTCTTTCTGAAGAGTTGCATAAGCTCAGAAAAGCCCAAAATATGTGGTCTTGGTCCATCAAAAGAGTAGCAAAACCCACAGTCATACAATACCTTTATTGGGACCCACCAGAACATCGCAAAATCGTGAAAAGCTTTTGTGGTTTTACAGACACGCAGTTGAGTAGAAAGAAAAGCTACAAGGGTGGCAGGCCTTGGGGGAGGGGGCAGCATTTGGAAATCCTAGGAGCAGGATCCATGTTTCAGAAAGTGGTGTTTAACAAAACAAAACAAAAAAAACACAACACTCTCGGAATTGCCCTGGTAGCCTAGCAATGTGGCTATATGGGGGCTTCTAGTATCTGTAATGCAAAAAATGTAACTTGGTAAGAGAGAAAAAAGTAATTCGGGCAGAATTGGCCTGTGTATGGCATGGAGGAGATGTTTCTTCACACGAATTGCCGAGTAAATATATATATATATATTTGCTGGTCTGATAATGAAGTTGTAACTTGGCTAGGAGCGTTGTTTGTCCTAGTGGGTATTTTGACGCTGGAATGAAATAATTGTGTGTGTTGAGGCACTGCAACGTCAGGAGTCTCTTTTTGTCAGTTTGTTTCCGAAGCTTGTAATGTGTTACTAATTCTGCAAAGCGAATTCAAAGCGGGTTTGGGGTCTTTTTTCTCTCCCCTTGAGGGGAAGGCGGGGACAGGAGGCTGTCTCTAAGTCTGGAGCCTGGAATTTCTCGCACTGTTCTTGCCTCTTTCTCTTCGAAGTTCTCTGATGGTCTTGAGCTCATTTTCTTGGGAAGCTCTTCGAATTTGTGGTTGCAACCCTGTACGTAACAGGAATACTTCGCTTCCCTTGACTTCAGTGGGCAACCTAACCCTACGCTGGATTGCAACCTATATAGATGATCGCACATGGACTGCAAGGGCCCCCCTCTCTCTGTCTCTCTCTCTCTCTGTCTCTTTCTCTCTCTCAGCACCAGGGAATCTTGTTGTGTTGTGATCAATCTGAGGCTTCCGTCTTGCTCCCTTCTGTTTCAGGAGAGGAATCTGTAGGTTACAAATAAATGCGAATCCTCCCATTGGGAAGGGAGTGAAAATTTGAAAACCAGAAGCTCTTAATCTTGAGAAGGATTTTCAGGGATCAGGCATTAAAACTGGGAGGAGGAGCATGGTTAATAGTAACTTCCATAACTTATTTAGATATGATACACATGGTTTGCACCAGAGTTGAGCCCTCCTCATCTACAAGCTGTTTTCTTTGCCATGTTGACCTGCGAAGATTTGAAACCTGACCCATGATCCAGTTCCTCCCTGAACAAACGCGACACATCTGTTCCCTGACCGGAGCCACAATCTATAAATTGACAAAGGGATGCCACGAAACCTCTTTTGCCTTCTTCAGAGCAAGAGGAATATGGGGAATATGCTGAAACGTGGAGAAATCCCCATTTGAACTGCTTATTTTTAGGTCTGTGTCTCTGCAGAGATATCCCTGTGTTTTAAAGGCCTTTGCCATCCAACATAAGTCAATTAGGCAGCAATCACTGGAAAGCAAAGGTAAAAATTATTTTGATTTACCTGGCAGTTAACGTAACAAAGATATTTACCAGACCTGCAGATTGGGAGTAAAATCCGGTGTGATCTTTTCATTTCACCCTGTATGTTCCAACATGGACTTTTGAGAAGTAGGCAAAACAGTGAAGAGAGTAAAATCCCAACGTTTCTTCAGAAATACTGAAAGTTTTTTTGGCCGATCAGGAGTTTACATCCACAGCTAACACTAGTCCACTCCATCCTGCTGCCATGGAGAAACACCTTTCCCCCCCCCCTCCCCAAGAGAGTTCCTGATTCCATTTAAACTATTAATTATCTCCCCTTTATCTTTTAAAAGTCTTTGTTCACCTGGAAGTGGGTGGAGGAAAGGACAGAGAAAGACCATCCTTCCTGCAGGTCTGTGGAGCCCCTTTGGGCTGCCGTGACCCGTAGCGCTCTTTTCTCTGTGGGAGGGACGGAGCAAGAGGGCTGGTCTGGTCTGTCAGGAGGAACTCTCTGGCCTTTGGGAGATGGCACTCAGCAGGATTCGTTCCCCTTTCTTCCCAGACTTTGCTTTGTTGTCCAGCTTTCCAGGCAGAACTCTCTCTTCGTCCCGCCAGGAGACCCTTATTCTTCCCTCTTGATCCTCCTATCCAGAGACTAGTCAGGCCCCACTGTGCTTAAGTTTCTGAAACTGGGCATCTCGGCTGAGGCTGATGAAAGCGTTGATCAAGCAGTGGAAGTCTTCCCACTGGCTGAGTGAAGGGAAATGCCTCCTGAAGGTGCAGTCTTGACATCTCCTAGCTGGTTGGAGGTCCATCGTAATAATTCACCTGTTTATATATTAGGTATTTGTTACTCTGAAGAGAGAAATCACTAAGCTTGGCTGCAGCTAGTGGCAATACGCCAGTGGGCGCCAAGGAATAGGTCAGTCACCCAGATCTTAGGAAAGGGTTTGTTATGTTTGCTGTTGCTGTTTTTAAATGGCTGGAGAACTCAGTTGGTTTGGGTATCTAACTGCAAAGCTAGAGGTTGGGAGTTCGATCCCCCCTGGATGGGCTTCCAGGGAGAAGAGCCAGCCCGTGTAGCCTTGGGAAAGCTGGGATCCCCCCAGAGATAATGGGAAACCACTTCTCTACCCGGGCAATTCTGAGAAAGGTTGCCATCAGTCAGAATTGACTTAATGGTTGTTGTTGTTGATGATGATATTTGCCCACAACCCCCAGCCTATGTGGTCAGTGGTTGACCTTCTACATGTCTTAGTCCAGAATAGTAACTTTTCCAAGATCTGTTACTGAGATATATCTGAGTGTTTGCATCTGGATGAGGCCCGGGCAGCTAGCTTACTGTTTCTTCACTGTAGCAGGTATGGACAGGAAGCCCATCATCCATGGGGTCCGTTCCGGCTCTGCAGTTGTAAGATGATGATGATTTACAGCCATGCCTTCTCAACTTGGCACCTTCTGCCTGCATGGTTAAAAACCCACGTCTCCGCTGGAGTTTTCAGACATTCAAGGTGGGGTAGCGTGAACACTTAAAAGACAAAAGGCATACCACATATATTGACTTTTAGCAAAATTTGCCTTCTGTCTCGCTCTTCTGGAGTATAAGCACCTATGGGAGTACAGAAACAGCTGCTTAATGGTGCGGTTGTGTTTCTATTTTGTCTTAGGAATGGCTTGGCTGGCCGTCTGGGAATTCCTTTTTTTTTTTCACCCTCCCTGTTAGAATGCTTTGTTTATCATCTATAATATTTGTGCCCGGCTCGCTCCTAACCTTTGTGGTCCAAAGGCTGCCTCCGTCTGACTCCTTGGGAGAAAGTGATGACCTTGCTCAAAAAAATTTTTTTGAACAGCCTCCTTTTTGTCTGGAGGAAATTATGCCGAGAAACAACACTTCCAGTAAAGCCATTGGCCGAGAGGCAGACAAACACCCTCCTGCCTTCTCAGGGACAGGAATGTGAAATAAAGTTCATTTTTTTTATAGCTGAAAGGAACTTGAGCAAATAAGAACTATCCCAGGAAGCTGGGCCAGTGTCATCAGGCTAGAGAGACAGGGCTGTCTGTATGTGTGTAGGCATATAATGGGTCCCTGTTGTTAAAACAGCTTAAAGATAAGGAAGCTTAACCTTTTTGAACCCGAATTCTCTCCATAAAGACAGTAAGGAACTGACGCACTTGGATTTTCTGGTTTTTATTGCAGTTGGATTTGCTGTTTTACAGCCCAAAGCAGATTTTTTCCTAACCTGATGTGCTGCAGTTACACTGGATAGCAACGCCCATCATACTTGACCAGCAGCAGGGCCACCAGGGAGGCTGTCTGGGGATGATGGGGGCTGTATTCCAGGACAACTGGAGGACAGGAGGCAGAGCTTAGAAAAGTTACCCTCCTTGAACTCTCACAGGTCATGGCTGCTGAGCTTTCCCCCAAATACTGGTCCTCAGGCACTTCCAGTTTCTTTCCGTACCTGTGGTTGGCATTTTGCCCAGGTTCGTAGATGACAGTATTTGGAGTTTGGGTGGATTATACGAGATGGCTTTGAGCGTCACACCCCGTTTGTCGGCTTTTACATTCAGGAACCGCTGAGCCTCCCTATGACAGAGCCAGGATCCAAACTTGTGTGAGTTTGTGGTGCTGCCTCCCCACACCAGCTTCCTTGCCTGGAATATTCGAACACAAATGACTGAATAGGGTCGGTGTGAGACCTAAGAGGAGAGGAGGAAGATAATTTTAAAAAGCAAACAATGTTGTGTGTGGTCCATGGATTTTTGCATTTTACTGGTTATCTCTGTGCGTGATTGCAGCTCGCCTTGACAACTGTTGCAAAACTGGGAGAGAGGAGACTAGATAAGCCCCCGAGGTCCCGCTTTCAGGGCCCACGAGCCATTTATTATACTTTCAGAAAAATCCCTAAAGTGTAGAAGTGGGAAAACCGGTGTGTTTAGTTTGTGTTTTGGATTGCAGCTGCCCATAGGCCTTGACCACAACTCCCATAAAGATGAGTTGGCCAGGGCTTTATGGGAGTTGTAGTTGTTACAGAGGGGACCACGTTTACCCACCCCCAGCTCTGTAAAATGTGGATAGAAACCCAGGTATTGGAAGCCGCAGTCCTTGAGCAGGTGGAGCTGAGCCTTTTCCAGACCGGAACCACTTCTAAATGAAATCAATCTGGAGTTTGTCTTTGCCCTGGTTTCTGCTCGCTCTGGTGTGGCCAGTGAGCTGGGCCTTAGTCAGCATGACCTCATTTGGGCTGGATGCTCCCACTGGGTTGTCCTTTTGGCAGGGCGTTCCTTGACCCTTACGGTTTGCATCCAGCCAGTGGAAGCCAATGCTTGGCTGATTTGTGAATAAATACCTCCTCTGATTAAACAAATAGCAGCTTTATCACCGAAGCACACCAACTGTATCAGTCGGTCAACAGTCAACATTGTTCTTATGGGCGAGTTCCGCTGAAACTCGCGCTCCAAGTTAATGCAACCCTTTTATGAGGTGTATTCTTAAAACCGGATTACAGGAGATTGCGACAAGGCCGTGGGGGGTTGTACATTCCCTAGTTCCCTATTAAAACAAGTTTAATGCGTGACAGGAAGATCTTGCAATAGCTGTGGTGACTGGATTCTATCTAGACCACCTGGAGTAAATTCTGCTTTGGAAGGGATGACTCTGTGAAGCCAACGGAACATGGTATCCCTGTAGGAGACAATTACGGTAGGTAGAGAGGCTAGCACAGACTTTGCAAGAGGAGGGGGGGAAGGTTCAATTAGCAGGGAATGCCTTTCCCTACCCCAAAATCATGGAGAGCCACCATGAGCCGGAGAACACAACACTAGCCGAGCCGGATGGACAGGCAGCTAGCCTCCCCTGAAGCGTTTTCCCATGTGTTACCTGACAGAGCTGTTGGGTCTTTGCCAAGGAGCCGGGCTTACCTGTGATGTTAAGAGTGCCACTTGGCATGTCTGGAGAACATGCCTTCTGCCGGATGACCTTATATCTCAACCTGCCTAGGAAGCCATGGAAACGGTAAACAGGCCAAGAACTGCGTTGTGTATATGTGCATGTTTGGGGCTGGCTCCGGGGGGGGGCCAGAGT